CAGGTGCCCATGGCAAGGCAAAGCCACATCCAGTTGTGGATAGGAAAGTGGCACCTTATTACTGACTTTATGGTAATCTATGGGCTGGGTTTCACCTCTGCGTCTAGAGACTAGAATGTTATCTTTCACTCTGCCTGGCCTGAATGTGCACAGTGTCTTTCTTATGCACACTAGGAGTGCAAACATGTGTGCAATGAATGAACTAGCAGTCAGCCACGGCCTCTACTTTAACCAAGCAGCGTGGTCCTGAATGAGGCCCCTGGAGTTGAGGGCAGGGCAAGGACAGAAGCCAGCACACCAAAGTCATGGACAGAACTGGAGAATCCATGAACAAGCCACATCAGGGGAGAGGAAGCAAAGAGAATTGGTAAGAAAAAAATTTTTTTTTTTTTTTTTTTTTAGGAAAGTGGGTCCAATATTTGAAGGGCTGTCACATGGAAAAGGAATTAGGAATGCTTTATCCAAAGCCCCAGAAACTAACTTTCAATTGAATTTAAGGAAAAAAATTCTTCCTAGCAAAGTGTTTTCCAGACAGAGTTTAGTGAAATGCTAGATTTCAGGGGGAGGAGGGAAATGATTCCAATTTATTCTACAGGAGAATAAGTTTGGGGCTTTGGGTTAGCCTCAGGTACATGGATGTTCTCACCAAGAGACAGTTTTCAGCCCTCCTCAAGCTTCTGTGGCTCAACAGATTTTCACAGGATGCTATCAACATCTCCTACAGTCTCTGCATCCCAAGCTCATCTCTGGGGAAAAGATGAATTGGAGCTGTCTGACAAAAGCATGTCATGAAGGGATGAGTGTCACACCACTATTGGAGTACTTTTAGAATACAGAATTCAACACTGTGTAGATAATACAGATGCAATCTAAATAGGAAACCAACTCATGAGTTCATTCTCCCATGCATATTCATCTAGAATGGCCAAGTAGCTGGCAAAAAGGTCTTTACACAGAGAATGCAGACCATCTGTCCCTTCCTGCCACGTGGTGGCCAAAATGAGTGAGTGATATGGATACTGCAAACAGGTCCTGGAACTAATCAATGCTGGTGAGTGGGAATATTAATGACAGCATGAGCTCTTGCCAGGGGCCCCTTGGCACATCTCCTATAGTATTTTCTAGAACATATTGCCTCCCTGCTTCTTATCTATCCATCTATTCTATAAATATTCATTGAGGGTTTTCCATATCCTGGCAGTGGTGAGTCAAACCAGACAGGTGCTGCTTCATGACTGCCTGTCAGTGAACACAATGAACAAATATATAATATGACTAATATTCAACTAAAGATTTGTATACATGATACCAAGGGAATGAATGGTGCAAAAAAAAAAAAAAATCCAGGAACTTACATAGAGACCACATCTAGTCTAGGACTTTGGAATGGGTTCCCTAAGGAAGTATGGAAACTGCATTTTGTAGACCCTTTAAAGGTGCTAGTCCAAAAATATGTCTCTGTGACATTCCTTCAGGAGATTATAGTTCACTGAAGTCAGGAATAAACCACACAGTCTCACTTAGCACAGAAGCCCCCTCTCCAGTACATATTTTACAGATGTTCAGTTTGAGACTGTGATTCACTAGGTCTGGGGTAGATAAGCAGGAGTTTTGAATGCTACTGCATGTACCCTACAACCCACCAATTCCACTATTAGGTAGAACACATTTAAGTAGTGCCACTTTACAAAGCATTTTAAAAGTCTAAATAAATGGGTAGAAAGGCTCAATCATGAAGATGTCACTTTTCTCCAATAGACTTCCAATCAAAATCCCAGAGTTTTTTGTTTCTCTTTATGGTTGTTACTGTTGTTTAATCTAACAAACTGATTCTAAAATATATTTGGAACACTAAGAACACTTTGGAAAGGAAAAAAAAATGAGGAAGCTGCCTTGCCAGAGCTTGTCTTACATAAAACTATAGTTTTGGTATCGACACAGAGATAGACTAAGGTGACAATGAAACAGGACAGTGAGCCCCAAACAGATCCGTGCTTTTGGGAAAAATGATATATAAAAGATAGCACTGTAAGTCAGTAGAGTAAGGATGAATGATCAGGAAGTACTGTTGGGATAATTGGTTATTTATATGAAAATAAAAAATAAAAATCTGAACAAAATTTATACACAGCAAAAATTTTAAGAATTTTTAATGAAATTTATAAAAAATAAAAAGACTGGGGCTGGGGATATGGCTCAAGAAGTAGCACGCTCGCCTGGCATGTGTGAGGCACTGGGTTCGATCCTCAGCACCACATAAAATAAAATAAAATAAAGATATTGTGTCCACCTAAAGCTAAAAAATAAATAAAAAATAAGTAAAAAATAAATAAAAAGACTATGTTCCTAAATGTGGGGGAAAAAACAACAACTTAAAACTCTTAGAAGAAAATACATAACTTTTTTTTTTTTTTACAACTTTGGAGTACAGAAATATATCTTAAATTAGATGCCAATTATGCAAACCAATCTCTTTAGAGATTGACAAATATAACTTCAATAAAATTGAAAATTCTGTACACCATAAATGAGAAAGAAAATCCACACACTGGGAAAATATATTTCCAGCACAATGATTAACATCTAGCCTGTACCAAGAATTCCTTTCTACAGGAAAAAAACAAACAATCCAAATAGAAAAGAGTATGAACCTGAAGATACAAATTCATTTTTAAAAAAAGACCATGAAAAAGTGCTCAACCTCATAAGTAATTAGAGAAATACAACTTTAAAATGGTGAAATACCAATCACACCCATTTTATGAACAAAACAGGACTGACCAGACCAAGTGTTCCATAAACATAGAGCAGCAGAAATTCTTGCACACATACATATTTAGAATGTAAATTAGGGAATCACTTTGTATTATCTAATATTTGATAAAAATTACCATGCATGTACCCTACAAACCGCCAAAGCCACTATTAGGTATTACTATGATCCCCCACCATTCCCATGTTGGAAACTTAATCCTTAATGCAACAGTTTTGAATGGTGGAACCTTCAAGAGGTGATTAGATCATGAGGGCTCTGACCCCATGAATAAATATCATTACCATGGGAGTGGGTTAGTTATTGATGAGTAAGTTCCTGACAAAGGGATGAGTTTGGCCCCCTTGACTCTCTTGCCCTTCTGCCTTCCACCATGGGATGATGCAGCAGCAGGCCCTTGCCATATGCCAGGCTCTCGACCTGGCACCTCCCAAGCTCTAGAACTACAAGAAATAACTTTTTGTGAGTTACCAGGTCCGAGGTTTTCTGACAAGAACCAGCTAACAGACAAGACAGTTACACAGCTTGGAAACCACTCAGGTACTAAAGAAAGCACTGGACAAGACATTCACTAAGTGTGCCTAATACTAGTGGCAACATGCTAAAAGTCCATCAAGAGGACCTGGATAAATACAATGTAGGCTATTCATATAATACAACAATATACAGCAGTGTGGGGGAAATAAAGAACCAAAGCTACACTTAACCATATGGATACATCTCCAAACCAGCACTGATCAAAGAAACAAAGTTGTTGTAAAACATGTTAGTAATGGATACCATAGATATAATTTGTTTCTTAAATATCTAAGAGAGGGCTAGGGTTGTGGCTCAGCAGTACAGCACTGCCTAGCACATATGAGGCCCTGAGTTCAATTCTCAGCACCCCCTAAAAATAAATAAATAAAATAAAGGTATTGTGTCCAACTACAACTAAAACATAAATATATAAAAAAAATGTAAGCGAGACCTTGGTACTATTAGAGGCATGAAACAAGCTAAAGATGTGCTTTAGGATTACAAATCTAAATTCAGCATAATGATTTCTAGAAAGGGAAAGAGAAAAATGGTATTTGGATAAAACACAATCCTTCATGAAACACACTATTATTAATTAGCATAAGGGAAGGAGAGGGTTCTTCAATGAAGCCAGGTCTTTTTTGCCTGAAAAAATCTCAGAAAGCATTCAGTCCAGACTTTGACTCAAAGGAAACATCTCTTCAATACCCTGGGGCAGGGGATAATCCTTCTTCTACTTTAGAAACTCCAAAGTCAGGGCTTCTGGGTATGGCTATACAGGTTGTATACTATATAATCCTGGAGAGCACATTTCACAATGTACATAATGCTTCCTCAGGTTGTAAAGTGTGCAACTAAGACAACTGTATGCTTGGAACTCTGATGAAACTATGCCCATTTCTAGGGAAATGCCCACCCATACAGTCCTGCTTAGAATTTCAGGGGATTCTGATACATCTCTGATGGTAATCAGCAGTCTAACTCCAGTCAAACACTTCCAGGTAAAGGATGCTCACAATCTTCTGAAGTAGTTTCAGACAACACTGTGAGACCAACTTCCTCCTTAAGCACATTTGAAACTTGCCTCTTTGAAACTTCTCTCCATTAAAGTGAATCTGCTTCCTTTCCACATGCCACTTCAGCTACGGAGAGCAAGCAGACCTGTCCCCCCTGGAGACTTCTGTGAGGCTAAATATACTCTTGACTTCACTTATTGCAAACACGCTCTATCTTCTTTTGTTCGAGATGAATTTTTAAACTATCCTTTTATCACACACTTCCTGCCCTAATAAGCAACTAGGCATGCTGACATGTTATCGAAAAACAAGAAGGCATTTCTCTCTGTTGTCCCTTTAGGAAACCCCAGAGGATCTTCACACTTGCTTCTCAAATAATCAAAAGCCCACAAAAGAGGCTGGGGTTGTGGCTCAGTGGTAGAGCACTTGCCTAGCACATGTGAGACACTGGGTTCAATCCTTAGTATGACATAAAAATAAATAAATGAAATAAAGGTATTAGTGTCCATCTACAACTAAAAGAAAATACATTTCTTTTTTTATTTTTTTAAAAAAGAAAAAGCCCTCAGAAGCCAGGAACTTCCAGGCTGGAGGAAAGGTCAGGTTTTGCCCAGGCATGCGGGCAAGGTCAAATGAGCAAAAGCAGGACAGAGTCCCCACCAACTGAGGGAGACAAGTGCTTCTCCACTTACTCCCAAAACTCCATGACGGGGGAGGTGGCGTTCTGCAGGGACACATGGCTGTAGTTGCTCACATTCAGTTTCTGGAACTCCACGCAATTCTCTACAGTGGGAAAAAAGACAAGACATACAAGAAAATTAACCTTCGCGAGGGGTAAAGCTGGGAAAACATTCAGCGCTGATGGTGCAATGCTCGTAGCTTTAACTCGCCGCTCCAAGCAAACATGACTCCAAGAGCATTAGGGGTGGAAATCAATGCTTTCCTGATAGTTCACGAGAGGCTCGGTCTGACCAGGATAGGAGGAAAGGGCTGGGGGCAGGGGACTTGAGTCTCTTCCGTTCCCAGCCAACAGGCCCCATCCCGCTCTTTCCTCCAACCTTATTCCCAAACCATTTTTGCTTTATTCCACTTTTGTGCCCCAAGTCCTGTCTATGGTATTTATCTCTCCTACCCAGTGGCCCTCACTGGATTGAAGGGGGAGATTTAAGGAAATGATCTAGTTGTGATGTCCGTAGGGCAGAAATACAGTTGAGATTTTTCTTCTATGTAAAAAAAAAAAAGGGGGTGGGGAGTTGTGGGGGGGCTGATACTACAATCTGCCTTATAAAGATGTCAGGATTGGATAAAATGGTGAGAAGCTATATGCGTAAAAGATCCTTGGTTTCTCCGTCATTCCCTTATAGGATCCAATTCATCAGAAAGGACTTACTGAAGACCTCTCCTCAGAAACTTGATGGCCAAGGGAATTTCAAGTAAAAATCTCCTACTGCTCTTTGGTCAAGGCTCACAGCAACCCATTAATCCCTCCTACTCCTCCAGGAAGCCAACCCTGATCTCCTTCCCCTGAATCCTAAGCAAGCCAGAATTCAAAAGCCCTCCCAGGAATTACCTTCTCTAACTCCATCTATTTTGGAAAGAATCTAAGGTTCAGAAAAAGTCAAGGGACACCCCCCTACACCCCCGCGCACACACACACACCCGCACCTTTTCTTTCCTCTAGAAAGCCACCCACCAGTTAAAGAAGGAACAGAGAAAAAATTCTAGCCAGGGCTCCATTTTCTTTGGCATGGTGAATGCCTGGTAGTATCAGCCACCATGGAACCTGTGCTTCTCTGTTTAGAGCTGCCTGGGCCACCAGACTGCAAGCTGCCTAGGGACAGGGCTTCCTGCATTGGCTCGCTCAGAACCTCATGTATCCAGAACAGTGGCCAGCACCCATTTGGCTCTGGTACATTTTTTCTTCTCGTGTGTGTAAGAACCATTCAAATTACATCTGCCATCTTTGGGGAAAAAAAATTATATTCCTGTGTATGATATTTTGCATACTGCAAGGGTTCACATGCCTTAGAGAAAGGGGACTGCAAACTGGTGGAACAAAGAGGTTGGTGGTCCACTGCAGAAATGCCTCTCTGGTTCCTTGTGGCAAGCGCTAACTATATTCTGAAAGGAAGTGGTCTAGAGGTTCACAGTCAGTCTTAAGAGGAGTCTAGAAACCTGAAATTATAAGTAAAATGACTTGATGTGTCTTGGGCCTTTTCCTGGGCTCAAAATAAAATACAAGAAATCAATTAATAAAATAAAGTTTCTCACGTTTTTGCCTAAAGTTAAAAAAAATACTGCAGACACCCAAGGTTCATGAGTTATTTTTATTAAAATGATATTTAATCATGTACAAATAGACAATGGGCTAGGGAAGTCTTTGTGTTTTATAAGTCATAAAACTAGAAGAGCAAGATTAAATTTATAAGCCAAATACCAACTCAACTATGGAACCAACACAATTCAAAATGATAATATCACATGACTGTAGATAATGCCCTTTGTTGAACTTAAATTGCTCCCCCAACCGAAAAAAAAAAAAATGCACCTGACAGGTAAACAGTAGAGTCTGTGGAGATCATCTGCCTCATTCTTCCACAGGCTATTTGAGTCTCAATTCTACAACTAGTTTCTGCCGGTTACACTTGTGCAAAACCTTCATTCATACAGTTAACTGCATTCTCAACTGGACTTTGCTTAGTACCAATGCACCTTATTTATTTATTTATTGGCATGCTGGGTTTGGAACCCAGGGTCTCACACATGTCAGGCATTCACTCTACCACTAAGCCAAACCCTCACTCCCCCAGCAGACCATTTATGAATTAAACCTCTCTCTGTTCTCTTTCCCTTGGCCACTATCATTCTATTTGCCATGAATTGCTCTTAGAGTACAAACACATGCAAATTCAGGTAGTGGACTCTCCTGACCATCTTCAGCTTAAGATTCAGAACATGCACATATTTTCAGAGTGTTCTCAAAATATCCACAATTAAATTATCACGGAAGACTCACAGGCCTCCAAGAATATGCCCTTGAATTTGAGTTTGATGAACATCTAAGGTCCCTTGCGAAAGGAAGGTTAACAACGCTCTGAAGAGAGACAGTGAAGCCACCACAAGATGCGAGTGTCAGGGGACAGTCATACGGGGAACAGAAAATAGATCTCAGAAATTTCCAGGTCTAATGCCTTCAGTTCTGTCTGCTGGTGACCAGCACCCTACCCAGTCTTGCTAAGAGGACACTTCCAGACATGATCTCACCACAGATTATAAAATGGATGGTGAGTGGGTTAACTGTGAGCCCCAATTCTAGTCAAAAGGTAGCAGCTGCCCAGAGCTTGGATAAGAGCTCCAAGCCTAAGACTAGACTCAAAAGAGAGATTGCTGTAATCAATTAGTGATGCCTCCTGTAAGCACAGCCATCTCAGAAATAGGTTGGACAGATTTTTTCTTCCCTAGATTATAAAACCCAATTCTAAAACTGAAAAACAAAACAGTCTATCAAATCAAAAGTATTATCCATTCTCGGAAGGGGGCAGCTGCTGAACTCAAATGTCAAGCTAGGCTGAACAGGTAAAGCAAATGAACAAAGTCATCTGGGTGGGATCACTGGAAACTTGAGGACAGATGTGTCACCCAAAGGCAATAGCTGCTTCTCAGCTGCAGCCATTGCTGCCAAGTAGGAATGTTGCCAAATCTCTGAATTTTTAACGAGAAGCTGGAAGTCTGGATTTTTCACATGAAACATTCAGACTTTAAAATTCTGGTAAAAAAACAAATACATTTTTCAGTTTGCTGTTCATTGATCTAATGATGGATCAGCCTAAAGGCCCTTCATCTGCAGCCCTTCATCTAGTCTAACCCCTTCCTGTTACAGAGGAAAACTGGCCATTTGGAGAAGTAGGGCTGAAACTGGGGATCCAGTTCTCTGAATCTAACACTTGTACCTACTCTACACCTTGTCTCCCAGGGGCTCATTCTCTGCATCTAACAAAGTAAGCCAAGAGCATCACCATTCTCCTAACCATGGACCAAAGCTCAGCTTAGGCTGTAACTAACAAAACATACCCAGACCAGTAAGGCCACTCCCAGGAAACTGGACTCATGACAAGAGCCCAGAGGCCAAGGATAAGACCCCAATCCCGGGTCCTCCACCAGCACCAGCAGAGAGACCCTCCCTGCAGTCCATACCTGTGTTCCACTCATGCCCACAGGTAGCCCAGGGGAGCTCCGTGGTAAAGCAGTTGCTCAAGTAGAAAATGGCCCATGCCAGGATGATGATGTAATACACGTTTAGATGGGCCTCAATCACCTGCGTTGCATAGCCAATTCCTGAAAGGATAAAGGAAAGGGAACAATTTGAGTTTCTATCTTTTCCTAATGGCCTTCAGCTACTCTTTGTAGCTTGACATTTTGGGGGCAAAACTTTATTTCTCATTAAATCAACACTTACCTTCAAACAAAGGGCAGACTTTCCTCCAACACGTAATGCCTCCTTCACTTGTGAATTGCCCCAGAGCCGTTTCCAGGAAAAAGACAGGAATCCCACAGCAAATAAAAAACACCACATAGGGAATCAGGAATGCCCCTGGAAGGAGATGAAGGAGTGAGATTAAAACTTTTCTCATCATTCCATGTTTGGCACAGGAAATCTTTAATATGCACCCCTACCACAGGCAAGATGTGATGGTCTCTAAGCTTGAGTTCCAGTTCAGCTAGGAACTAGGATCAGAAAGTGTGGCCCCGGGTTTGTGCTCTCTGCCATCTATGACCTTAAGCAAGTCTACCGCACAGTTCGGATTCTCAGCTCCCTCATTTGTAAAATGGGACTTTAATCCTTAATGTCTATATTGCTTACCTTCCAGAATTAATGGGTAGCTATGAAGACAATATAAAAGAAAGGGTTTTATTTGCTCAGTTCTTTAATTTATGGATTCTGTGCTTTGACATAGGTCAAGATGATTACCATCCTGAATACTATACCTTTTGTTTTTCATTCTAAAGTGATGTCAACAGTCTAGGTAAGGGAGATCCCTTTCTATTATTTACTTTCAGAATGATCTGAAAAAATATTTTTTTTCATAATGAAAAGGCATTCTCAGGGAATTATATCATGAACAATATCAGGCTTCAAAGAGTTAATCATCCCTATATGCAAGTCCCAGTTGTTCAGTTGAATTGTATGGAGTTTACAACAAGAATCTATCCAGTAAGTCTGGCTTGGGATCAGTCTGGGAAAAGACCACCCTCAGTTTTAGTGTTCCTATCTTGAAACACAATATCCATTGCCTGGGCCTTTCTGCAAAACAAATTAAATAACTGAGGTGAACATGGGCTATTACAAACAGAAGGGGATTTTTTCCAAATCCCTCGTCCTCTTTCTCCAGTCTAATAACAAAGCATGAAAACATGCTATTTCCAACCATCTGATCTCACAAATGAAGCCTTTAACTGAAATTGCTTTTTACTAAATGAAGCCTCTTTAACTGCAAGGATTAATAGCAACAATTTTGATCAATCCTGATAACAGGGTCCTATCTACCAGGTTTTGAAAGGGTCTTAGGTTTTTCTGGGCAAGCAACTAATTCAAAATTTCACATTGGGAAAGAAATACTTTAAACTATGAGTACAGCTATGTAGATTTTTGAGAAAAAAAAGGAGAAACTGTGGATATACAGACAGCTGAACTATATAAAAAGGCAAAAGTGTGTGAAAGGAAATAAGAGTATCTGTTTACTGAATCTAAATCTAATTGATTAAAAAGCTGAAATCATTCCTTAATACACTGCAATTTACCTGGGAACCCTCTGAAACCTAATAGATGGCACTTCGTAAAAGCCTTCTGGCCTGTGTATTCATAAAGCTTGTACTGTAATCCCTAAAATAACTAACTCAATCAAGCCAGGGTATCTGTGTACCCAATGGAGACTCTCGGCAAATCAGAGAAAGGAAAAGAAAATCCAGCAATGACTCATTTTTAAACTTCACTCACTACAACATTTTTTTTAATCTGTGGCAGAATTTGTAATTAACCCAATTTACCCAATTTTTGCTTTTAGGAACACTTATTACTTTGGCACAATAATTGCCTGGATGAACAAATATATTCAAACTTTTTTTTTTTTTTTTTTTTTGGCTTGGGCCTCCCCTTAAGAGTTTCCACAGGTTTCCAAGTGCACATCACAATTTACAAAGGCTGAGTCTATCAAGAGAGGCAGGACTCACAGCTGAGGGCACAGGGCACTTTTGGGGTCTCCATGTCCACTCCCCCTGTACCCGCCTTGCCAAACCACCAACATAAGTGGCCACTTCATTACCAGTGCAAAGCAGGCTTGCAGCAGCCTGTACCTTCAAAATGAATGTCTCCAAAGAAAGGGCCTGGGCCCAGCAGTATCCTTCTTGCTCTCCCTGCAAGCAGCTCCCGCAGGAAGTCCAACACTGGCCCTGCCAGCCGACTTCTGAGCCACCTTGTTTAAGGATTTACTGGAGGAGGAGGGGGGTACCATAAAAGAGTCAACGGGGACTGTACTGGCACAGGCTTTCTCTTGGAGAAACATGCCACCGAAGATTTTGGAAGATCCCTTCCCATGGACTTGCAGGGCTGTCCTGTTGATGTGACAGAAGGAAGTCTTGAAGTCTAGAGCCCTTTCTCTGAACTGAGAGAGTCATAGATTTACCACTGCCTCTTCTGGCAAACTGACTTGGAGACGTTGTTACTACAAATGACTCTCTCAACACCTTCCTCTCCCTCTCCCCCTTCCACAATCTCTAACCTCTCAAAAACATTAAAATCAGTGTCCTTGCTCTGTGTTGTGGGTGACTCTGAGGGCAATAAATGTGACTGCTTGGTGCCAATTCTTCCACCAGAGAGTCCCAATATATTGGCCCCAGAAATGACCCTAAGAGCAAAGTTAAAAGGTGAGGCAGAAAAGCTAACAGCAAAGGCTCACGTAAGAAGTTCTCCCCGTTGTCAGCCCAATTCCAATTTAAGATGGGATTCTGGTCCCAGAATCCCATCTTAAACCACTGGTTAAATGAGGAACTTCTCTGACCCTTACTTTCCTCGTCTGCAAGAAAGGTGACAGTGAAGCCGAGGTGCCTGGCACTTGAGCAAATTCCCCCAAACCAAGACCATTGAGGCAATAAGCCAGAGTCCCTTTCCAGTGGAGAGGGAAAAAAAAGCTGAGGCTCAAAAGGACTAAATGTTTCCTGTCAAAATGCCAGTGAAAATACCAAAATCAAAGGCCTGCTGGTCTCAGCTGTTACCTCATGCTGAGGACAGATCCCTCCTGGCGGGCAAGTCCCTGCGCACTGGCAGGTGGCACACTGAGGTGCGAAGCAACCCATAGGCACGCTCGCTTCCTGGAACAGGTGGGCCGTGCCTGCGGGTGAGCTCACTCAGGTGGCCTGGGGTCGAGGCTCTTCCTTAGGGTCCCGCTGCACGCAGGCGCAGGAGGGGGGTCTCGCGCTCGCCCACCCCCCACCCCCCGTCTTTCCACCCCCACGGAGCGTGCGGCACCCCCTCCCCTTCTCCCTGTCGCGTGCCACCTCACCTCCTCCGTTCTTGTAGCACAGGTAGGGAAACCGCCACACGTTGCCCAGCCCGATAATCTCCCCGGCCACGCTCAGCACGAACTCCACCTTGTTGTTCCACTGGCCACGCTCGTGGACAGCCTTGTCGCGCTTGTCGCGCGGGTCGCGCGCGGGCGCCGCGCCCCCGC